TTAATCACATCTGTCACTTCAAATTTTAAAAACATGAATGCAAAACAGCAGTTCACTGCTTGACATGGCTTGTGTAAAGTGACTGTTTTTATTTGTTAACATACACCTAAATAACGGAGTTATTTTCAAAATAGCCAATAAGCTGGTTATCTAAATGAACTTTTCTCCCTGCAACAATAATTGGGGCTCTGTAGACATAGTGTTTATGCATAATGTTTATTTTTTTTTTCTTTAATAAAGCCATCAAACTACAGGGTAAAACCAAGAACAACCTATTAATGAAGAAACTGCAAGTAATATGAATTACTAGAAAGCAGAAAAAGCTGCATGTTTTACCTTTTTAATTCTTACGTATAACAAAGTACCTCCTGTGGTATTTTAAATAATACTTTAAGAATAAAAGGATCTAGATGTTTTGGGAATAGTGGTGACGGTTGCACAACATTCTGCATGTAACAAATGCCACTGCATCACACTCTTAAAAATGGTTAAAATGTCAAGTTTTGTGTTATATATATTATACCACACTTTTAAAACAAAAAAATTAAAGAATTTAATATTATGATTAAGTATAAAGTAAAATATTTCTGCAGTATTAAAAGTAGGCTAGCATTTTAAGTTGTAGTTTAAAAAGTAGTGCCACCTGCATTGTCTTTCTCTTCTCCCATTTTTTCCCCACGTTTTTCTTCCTCCAATTAAATTCATGTTAAACTATAGGACAAGTACTTTTACTAGCTCTTCAGAAAATTAAAATGTACATAAGAGGTCACCATCCCCTTTGCAGTAATGTGACATTTAAAAAAATTAAGATTTCTATATAAAATAATTTCTATGCTTTCAGTTCTACTTTCTAAGTTAAAAATCTGTCTGTTGCTTCTTCTGAATCATGTAAATTCAAATTCACTGTGCCTTAAAAGTTTTCTGGAAAATCCATTACTTTCAGAAGACATATCTAATAGCATAAATCATGGGGGGCAGCGTTTACAACTTTCTGATGAATTTGATCATACATCTGTCTCTTTTGGTAGCATTAAGCTATATCCTTCTCCAGTAGGGGAAAAAAAAAAATAAAAACAAAACACCACCACCAACAAAGTGATACTTCAATCATTTTGATTTCTAAATGCTTAAAGACATGGAAAAAAAATCATAGTTTGATGTTGCTGTGTTTAAATAGCACTTGATTTCTTTGTCAGATTTTTCTATAAAGACTATTAAAATGGTTAAAGAAATGTCTTAAGTAAGACTGTGTTTCAGCAAAATGTGAATCATTGTTACATACATTTTTAAGTCGTTAGAAATTTAAATCAAGAAAGTAGTTAGATCCAAGTTACAGAAAAAAGTAGAGTTTATGAATTTGCCTGTGATCACATGACATCTTGACACAAGGACATTTTTGTTTTGCCACGAGCCTCAGCTTCTCCTCGATAAAGCCAATGAGTGATGGAGGCATGCATGCTGGCTGGCACATGGGAGTCACTGAAATAATTTAGATAGCTCCCTTCCCCAAATTTCTTCTCGATACAGTTGCTGAAAAGATTAAGTGAAATAATGTATTAAGAGAGATTAGAACATAAAACTAGAAAAATGTTTATCAGATGTCCTGGGACCTAACTTACCAGAAAGAGAATAATACATCGGAAGTGGGAGAAGGGCAGCAAAGACATTACTCAAGTGCTTTGGTCATACATTAAATGATTACAATGATTCAGATGGTTAGAAGCAAGTCAAAAATTTAGGCAACCTTTATCTAAGTTTTAGATATGCCACTTTAACTTAATAAGCCTTAAGTTTTAGATGTGTCACCATCCAGAGTGATAACGATCATACTTTCAGGGTCTGGACTTTTATTTTAGATTTAAATTTTGAGCCTATTTAATTTGCTATAATCACAAATTTCGTAGGGTGTTTTCTCAAACCATAATTTCAATTCATCCAAGTGAATTAAAAATGTCTTCCCCATAGAAACATAAATACCATTTTAGAATGGAAGTAAATAAGAATATAGGAGTCTATGTGCAGAATAAAAACAAACAAAAAAAACCTACGCTACATATGAATTCCTAAACCATAGCTGTTTTATATATAATTTAACATTCTAAAATCATTACTTCTATAAAGTTGTCCACTCTTCTTAGACTGTATTTTTCCATAATTTTTTTATAAATTAGTCTTTCTAAAGGAGTCTCATGTTAAAAAATTATATATTAAAGTCAAGCCCTGAAAGTACTAGTTCAGTTCTGAGTTATTAGGCCAAATTCTTCAGTATCATGTCCAACACTGATATTTTCTGGAATCTTGGCTATTATGAAATTCTTACCACAATTTCTTAATATGCTCAATAGGGTTTTTAATTTCCTTTTATCATTTTGACCTAATTTCTTTTTTTTTTTCAATCTCTTTCCTCCTTCTTCATGTCAAACTCCAATTGGAAAATAGCTTACTCATTTATTTTTAAATTTTACTTTTTCTCTTTTAAGATGCCCAGTACAAAACATTCAAATAGCCTTCTCTCTAATGTTTTGTCCTTATATGCTCTTGAAAGTATTGCTTGATAGACCAAGTCACTCATTTTAGAAACTCCCATCACCGGGCTAATTAAACACTATAACAGGGGGTAAAAGTTTTCTGTCCTTGTCATATAAAGTTGACTCATATTTTAGAATTGTTCTTTTGAGCAACAGACATACTCTATAATTCTCACCTAAAAAATAGGAATCCCTTACAGATGTTAAGACGGTATAGTAACAAGTCATTCTAGCACGAAAAGAAATTTATTTAAAAAATATAACTCTGGCTTGGACAACAGAATTAACTGTGCTACTACTCTGTAATTATCACACCTTACTTTTTTTTGTCTCACTACCTAATATTTACATGAGGGGTTATTAAATCATGTAAAGGCTTGACGCCATTACCAGATGCTTTAGTGGAACAGGCGAACTTTAAGAGAATGCTCTCAGTACCATTTCTCCAAAGTAAAACTATTTCAATGATAAACAAAAATGTTCTTCAGTAACTTCTAATCCTACCTCCGACAACAGAACTTTTTTTGCCCATAGGTAAATCAATCAGGGTTTTTACTAGTGTCTTCATCTACGTGACAGGCTGAGTAATAGCACCCTCCTCACGCCCCTCCACAGCCACGTCCTGACCCTGGGAACCCATGAATGATACTGACTTCGAAGATATGATCGAGTTAAAGATCTTGAGAGGGAGAGATTATCCAGGGTGGACCTTAAATGAAATCACAAGTGTCCTTAGAAGAGGTAGGCAGAGGAAGAACAGACTTTAGTAGACAAAGGGATGTGACCAGAGAAACAGATTGGAGTGACCAAGCCAGGAGCCAGGAGCTGGAAGCCAGGAACGTCAGCAGTCTCTAAAAGCGGAAGAAGTTAAAATGGGATTCTCCCCTGGCGCCTTTGAAAGGGAACGGGCCCTACACACACGCTTTGATTTTAGCACCTGTGGACTCATTTTGGATTTCTGATCTTCAGGACTATAAAAGGACACATTTGTGTAGCTTCAGCCCATTAACTTTGTTATAGCAGCTACAAGAAAGTTAAAACAATCTGTAAAAAGGAGGTTCAAATAAATGACCTCTAAAATCGATCCAGGATTTGAGAGACCTGATCTGCACTGTTGGCTTTGTGTGGATTTTTATTTTTCAGCATTTTTCATAGGCATAACTTATGAAAAGTCGTTTTTAATTAGTTATTCAGGATATACTATTCTTTGAATCTTTGTTGGAATCAGTCTCCTGGGTAATAGCTTGTCATCATCAAGAGGTGGCAAACACCAAGGGAGATATTTCTTTTAGTTTATTTTACCAAGTTGAAGGAAAATGTTATATTTTTAATTAATTTTCTACGTTTGAGGAGCCAATTCAATTAGAAATTCAAAACACGAGAATCTTGCAGAAATCAGCTGCCAGATTTATTAATCTATCTGAAAATAAAAACACAAGCGAACAAAAAGTAGAATAAAAACAGAACTTAAAAAAAAAAAAAAGAAAACGTTGGAATACATTTCCCAAAAGAGTTTATAATGCAAAGTTTTGAACCCTTCTGTATTGGAAATATCCTTAATGTTGGCCAATTACTCATTTTGTTTTGTGAGTCACTACCTTAAGCAGAAAAATAGTTTGTCCTTAAATATTATATAATTAACACCAGTTCTTCCTTGATCCCTTAAGATAACTCATAGTCCAATTCTTCCCCAATGGGAAATTAGAACTAGAATTTTAAAAAGAAAAAGGAAAAAGGAAACAAAGAAAAAGCGGGGAAAAAAAGAAAAAGAATCCTCAATACAATTTCATTTAGATGATATTTTAAAGACCCACTTTTAATTTCTCCTTCAATTTCTCCAAATACGTTAATTCTCTTTCCAATAAATCTTTAGCTGAATATTTTAAAATTTGTTTTTATTCTAAGTGCTGTAAATGGCCATATGAGCATAGTGGGGGGGGGGAGTTCTCATTTTTAAGGCATACTTATTAGCCCATAATGGGCCAAATGATATGTAAGGTATATGCAGAACAATCATTGAAATCACAGGTTACATACATACGTTGAAATTAAAATAGGCCCTTTTGTAGGATTAAATGTGAGTAGTATTGATGACGGTATGTGGATTTCCCAATAACTGTTTGATTTAGACACACAAGCTGTGATCTGTGCCACGCTGGGAAATGGGTAGCCAGGAAATCATCTTTCGACAATCTTTCCTGTGCTCGTCAAGAAGTGCTTTTATAGGTTCATTTTGGCTTCGTGTTTAGGATTTTCTTGTTTCTTAACATTTCACTGTAGGTGCTTAAAAAATGTTGTTCCTCTGGGATATTGATGGATTGAATAAAATTCAGGCTTCTTGTTTGAATGGTTTAGCAAGCTATTCAAAGATATTATAACACCACCTTTTTTTTTTTTGTCCAAGGTGAATGAAACAACATATCCTGCTTTCAATTATTTTTCCAAATGCCAAACACAAACAAAACAAAAACCTTTGAAACTTTAAATCTTTAAGTCTTCTTTCAAACAATCCAATCACATTTACACAAGTGTCCAACTGTCCAAAACAAGATGAGTATCAGTGCCAGCACTATGTCATACAGCAACTTCCTCAGATTCTTCGACAGTTTGTAAATAATTTTCTATTTCACCAAAAGTTACAAAAGTTTCCACAGTTTCCCTTAGCAAGCTGAAGCTTACTCCTCATTTGTCAATGTGCATCAAAGCTGCTCAGAGCATAGCATGGCATAAGCTATTTTTAAGCAATAAATGGTCTGAGTCATCTATTTTGTCCTGAAATGCTATCTGTAGTTCACTGCATTGCTTATAAATGGTCATAGTAAATTCAGCATGAAAGAGAATATTACAGAAAAGACAGCAGCAGAAGCATTAGCATTATCTAATATTTATATATGTTATCAACATAACACAGCAGTAAAAGGTTTAAATGCATATCAACGGGTACCATGTCTAAAAATTACTATAGTACCTATTTAGTGTATTGGATATTTTTCTTAAGGAGTGCTTGCTGTATCTAGAACAGCATAATATGTGATTTAGTACAGTTAATTCTTATCGATTAAATAATGTTTCTTTATGTACTCAAGGAAGTGAGATAGATTTTTTTTTTTTGCTTCATTGTGATCCCAGATTTAACATTTAAATGAAGATCTCAAAGGACCATGACATATCATTATTTAACTGAAATGGGCTTCAAAATATTTAAATGACAGTATGATTTGCGTCTCAACAGCAAGGTGGCACCAGGTACACGGAATGCTACTGGCCTGTGACTCGGTTTGGAGCCAGAGTCCAAAATTGTGCCCCTCATTTACAGTCATGGTGATCACTCAACTTCAGAGAGAATTACCCATTTTACGGTTATCCTCTGTGAGTCAGATAGCAAGCAAAACAAAACAAAAAACAGCAAATGCGATCTCTAAATACCTTTTTACAACAGGTGCAAAACCAGTCATTTCTAACAGGTAAACTGCCATTTACAGTAGTTTTTTTTAGTTTTTTTTTTTTTTAGTTTTTTTTGTTTTTGTTTGTTTTTTGTATACCTTGCAGAGACTCAGAAATGAGAGGGGAAAATGCCCAAGGCAAATAGTCTCCATGTGGATATTTACACAATGTGAATTAACTGTACCATAGATACCCAGAGAAAATGAACATTTTCTTATGTTGTTTGAAATCAAATAAACATGATATAGCTTCATCATACTTAAAACCTGTGGACCCCATCCCACGCCTAAGTAAAAAGTAATCCCCATATTCCCCCACCCATTCACCCATTATCCTCCTGTTACACAGAATAAATGTTTAGATTACACCTACCCACCCTCAAATAAAGTGCGCAGTCCATGGCAGACCATAGAATAATGCAACAGGAAAGCCCCTTTTTGTGTATTATTATTTAAAAATAAAATACAAACAACAAAAATCAAACGAAGATTGAAGAGAACTCAGAGAGTCTCTGCATCCTGCAAAAAGAGGAGAAGCACGAGGAGGCCCTGCGTGACTGTCACTTGTGTTAATACACGTAGCCTTCATTGTAGGGGTGGGGGTTGCAGCAGCCCCCTTCAGGCATGTAGGCCATGCTCTCGTCAAAGTGAGACAGAGGCACCGTGTCTTCTTCATTGATGTGGCGTTCCATGTCCGTCTTCAGCAGTGGGCGCTGATTATCTGGGAAGGCCATGGAGAACAGGGCTTCTGGATCACAGACAAATTTGTAGACATATCTCTCTCCGGCCACCTGATGAAAATACGGAAGAGAAAAACCCATCCTTATGTATGGTGACGGATGTTAACTAAGCTTACCAGGGTGATCATGTCACGATAGATACAGACAGTGAATGACTAGGTTGTGCACCTGAAACTGACGTAAGGTTATATGTCAATTAACCTCAGAAGAACCACAATCTTCACAATCCCCAAATGGGGAAGAGCAGGGAAAGGAAAGAACAAAAACACGGTTTAATATGTCAGAAAGGATGCATAACAAATGTTAAAAGATATCCATAAAAGCAAAAACAGTCCTTACTTTGTGGAATAAACTTCTGTCCAAGAGAGGGAAATGTGGCCTTGAGTAATGATTGACCTTGAGTAATAATTACATTCATTCCAGGCACAGCTAGAAAGCTTAGCGGTTTGCTTGTTTTAATATAAAGGTAAACTTACATTGTTATTTTGGGGGGGGAAAGATCAATGATTTCATGCAGGTATCTCACAGTGAAATTTTGTTTCCTTTGCTTTAAATGGTTTTATCGTTATTTATAAAATAACTGGACCTTTAAGGTGTAGTGTCTCCCTCTTAATATCACATTTCTGAAATTAGAGAAAACCTAAACTTCCAAACTTTAAAAGAAAAATGTGCTGTGTCCTTAATAAGACTAGACTAGTGACTGACTGATTCACAGGTGAACTGGTTCTTTTCTCTCTCTCTTTTTTTTTTTTTTCGTTTTTTTGGCACTGTGTATTCTCATCTAAAAAAAAACCCACAAAAGACGCATGGCCTTATCTAAATGAAAGACAGATCAAGAGGACGGCATCATCTTGGGTACGTCACTTTTAAAAATGAAGGCAAGATGCAATCGACAGAAGTGAAGGATGTGTGCAAAGTGTCACGCTGAAGTAAGAGGTGCAAAAAAGTGAAGGGAATTTAAAATATACAATGCATAGGGAGCAAATGAGAAAAAGAAATGTGAGAGCTGCCAGAAATAAAGGGGAAATAGCATAATTTGTAGGGAATGACATGTCCCAAACTTAAATTTTGAAGACTAATGTTTCTCTAAGAAATTATAAACAATTGAGTGAAACAAATGTGCAACCCCCCCCTCCATTAACAGAAAAAACTGAGGTTCTCAAAAAAAACAGGGGCGGGGCAGGGGTGAAGGGTGGGAGGGGGGGGTGCATATGAATACAATTCTTTGTATTGACATTGAGGTAAACCTTCATGTGTATGCAGAGATTAGTAATTTTAGAAAAGCGAAAATTACTCAATGCCTCTGGGTTCCTATGTATCAAAAAAAGGCACTGCTGGTTGCTTTGCCATGGAGAATGTTCAGTTCATGGTTTATAAACTATCTGCATGTGTTTGGAAAAAAACACTCTAGCAAAGAGTGCTACTCTTCTGGACTCAAGATTTAGAACACTGTTTTGTCCTGGATGTTTTTAGCTTATAAGGCGAGCCAATTTAGAGAATCCAAATAATCTGAATATTCTTAGGTTTGAATACAATGAACATTTAGCTTTTATGAATTTGTACATGTTGCTTTTTTTTTTTTAAAAGATTTTATTTATTTGACAGAGAGAGACACAGTGAGAGAGGGCACACAAGCAGGGGGAGTGGGAGAGGGAGAGGCAGGCTTCCCGCGGAGCAGGGAGCCCGATGCGGGGCTCGATGCGGGGCTCCATCCCAGGACCCCAGGATCATGACCTGAGCCGAAGGTAGATGCTTAACAACTGAGCCACCCAGGCGCCCCTTGTACATGTTTCTTAGTCAGTCCTCAGTTCCCCTGTTTTTGTGAAACAGAGGTGGGAATGGCTTCTTTGGAAAGCTTCTTGTAAAACTGAGAAGGAAGTCTCTAGGACATTGCACAGCAAACAGAGCAGTTGGTGTAAATTCACTTACTTTAGTCCCTTATAAAAAGGAAATTGAGTTCATAAAGGTGAAATTGCCATAAAAATAAAGACAGGCAATATCAGAAACAAAGCTAAGATATGAAATCCTAGTTTTCCTTTATTTCTTTATTCAAAGCATTTTGAGAAAAAAAAATAAATGGCCTGCAGACCTTAGAGCTTTTAATAACCTGCTTTGTTTTGTTTGGAGCCGCAGAAAAAGAGGTATTTGCTTCAGGCTACTGGTAGCTTTTTTATCCAACCTGTTGCTATTGGTTATAATTAGAAATGATTTGATAAATCACTGTGGGGAATTAAAATGTACAGCATGCGATCAAGATTATAAAATCTCTTAAGGAGTCTGCCTTAACTCATGGCTTCCTACTATTTTTTGTACAAAAAAAAAACATTTTTGGAACTACCACTATATTTATTGAACTGTGTTAAATGTCACGGAGTTTAGAACAAGGGCTGATAATTACCAAGGGAAATAATGTCTTTCATTATTAGTAATACAATTACAATCTAGAAAATGCTGTACATTAAATATACCCAAATCACAGTGCTGATATAGATAAAACATGAATTTTTTTTAGGAGATGAGTTGGAAGTTAACAAGGAAGTATCTTTTGAACTGTGCTTTGAAAGACTAGATATTTAAATTATGTGTTCATTTTTTAAATCTCAGAAGTAACATAAAAAAACTGGCGGAAAATTAAAAATTATAGACTAAACCAAAAGAAATGGTGATCTATCATGATATCATCCACAAATAACTGCTGTTAAAATATGTGCACAGATTTCTCTAGGCATTTCTAAGTTTTGAAATAGGAGGTCACACCTGTACAATCTAAAAGCCAAACTCCATTATTTCTTATCTCTTTCAGAACTACTGAAATAAACAGGGTTTTTCTACATGTTTAGATCCATTTGATTATTTTTATTTCAATTTCTAATCTTTCCAGGTAATTGTCCTGAATATACACCACATACATATATAATTTAAGTTTATAAACAAGTGTGGTCATACAAACATTTTCCCCTACACACTGAAAGATAAAATTCCACATCATAGGGTTGTCTTTTTTCTTTTTAAGGACGGCGTAATTACCCTCTGAACGATTCTGTTAGAATTTGCTTAGCCATTAGAATGGTACAGATGTTAGGTACAATCAGAAGGCAAGACATTCTCCACAGAGGGCATGACATCAGTGAGGCAATGAGGGAGTCACAGGTGTGTCAAATGGTAGCAAGTAAAATGGCTCAAGGCATGTGAGGAAGAAGAGTAAATATGTCTGTAAAAATGGTAGAAAGCTTTCATTTGTGTGCTCATTACAAGTAGACTTCAGTTTTGTATGTTTCACCATTAAACAGCCTATGCTTTCTTATATTATGCAGCAACACGCCAAAAGTTCTGTCACATACAGACATTTTGCTAGTCTATCTTAACTGATAAAGAAATAGTCGCAAATAGTTTCTTTTACCTTATTTCATTTAATAATGACAATAACTTGATGAAGTAAGAACACCACCATTTAGCAGGCGAGGAATCTGTTCAAAACGGTGATCCACAGAGAAGGCAGCGTGCAAACCTAAATCCTGCGTGCATCTTCTTTGACATCTGCGCACCACTGCCCAGGGGACCTGAGCACCTAACAGCGCCAGCCCTCTCCACAGCCAGCCCACTCCATGTGTCAGGAATTAGCTAGACGGTGAGGGAAATGAAAGGAATGGAACGCGTCTGAAAGGATTTGGCTGCAAATGGGAAAGGTGGGTTGGGAGGAAGGAAGGAATTAAAAAAAGGACCGCAGGGTCGAGGTGAAGAAGACAGGGGAGCAGGTAGGTAACGGTTATATGTCTTGAAGGCAAGATTCAGGGAAATAAGAAGTAAGTAATGAATTCAGCCTTATCTTTCAAGCATCTCGGGCACTGTAACTTCTGAGAGCTGGCAAACTCCAGAGCACCGATTCCCTTTGGTCTAAAAACTCAATGAAGCTGTTTCCTCTATTCTAGCATGTTTCATGTAGCAAATGGTCTGGTTTTTCTTGGCGTAATTACAGTGGTATAAAAATATGCCACAATCTGCAATATATAACTAAGTTTGTGTCCCCCACATGAACAAAGGATACAAAATAAAACAGTAATGTTCACAAGAGATAAATCATAAAATTAGTTCACAGTCTAGACAATAGGAATGAATACACATGCAAGGCTGAAGGATGTAACAATAACAAATATCCGACGTTTTATCTTTATTCATTTATTCATTACCTTCTTCAAAAAGTGTATATTTTGTTCTATGTGGATTCCATTTGTTTTATCTTAAGTTTTTTAAAAGCCACCTTCAAATATTTAGAGAAGCTCATTTGAAATAAAGTAAAACACATTTACCTTAACTTCATTCACCAATGAAATAATATCAAACACTTATTTTTCATAAAGGTTTAGGTAACGAAGCTGTCAAACAGCAAAACCAGGCAAGACTTCAGACAAGGAGGGGAAAAGTAAGAATTCAGTTAGTAATGGAATCCATAAACAAAAGCATTTCAAAATTATGTAACTGTGGAGAATGTCGCAGACTATCAACAACTTTGGGAATATATGGGACTATTAGTACTGAAACAACATTTTTTACCAAATACGGTAAAGTTGGGACTTCCAGAAAGTCTACTAGTTTCTATAAGATATTATTACATAGTTCTATAATGCCAATGAATTTATAAATAGAAAGGCTTGTCGTACCAAGACCAAGAGCTAAGCGTATGTTAAAATGAGTGAAAACCTTGCTTCAGCAATGCAAAGACATGTGGCTTTTAAAGTATTACATGCAGATTAATGTGCAACATTTCAATGAATTTTAATGCTGCTGTAGCTGCTCACCTTTTGCATGATTCCTTTCTCATAATAATAGCGAAGCGAACGGCTAAGTTTATCATAGTTCATAGCTGGCCTGTTTTTCTGAATGCCCCAACGCCGGGCCACCTGCCACCAAAACAGAATTACATTGTACTGTTAAGTATTACCTTATCAAGATATTTCATAAAACATTAGTGAATTAATCAGTTACTTCCAAGTCACATCCAAATTAAAGACATAAGTAAAGAGGCAAAAGCTATCATGATCTGAATTTTCCTGTGTCCTGATTTGCTTTTAAACCAGGCATGCAGTGATCATTCTGCGACTTCACAATAGAATTCTTTGTCACTATTGTTTTGGATACAAAATTAAATGGAAATAGGGGGATGTGTTTACAGTGGGAATGAACAGGCTGCAATTCACCAAAGTGAGGCAAGTTTCCCATTCTGAGATATACTGCCTGTTCCTTCCTAATTAGTTTTTCTGATAAAACCTATAGACCAAGAACAGCTTAGTGATCGCTTTGTAAAAGCGTTTTCTACGGTTATGATAAACTGAAGAAAAAAAAATACGCTGTTTGCTACCAAAGAAAAGAATGAGCAAGAGGCACTGCATGTTAACAGAGGAAATAGTATACAAATTCATAATCTGAACTGCAAATAATTTTTATTGCCCGAAGCAGCATCAGAATAAAACTGTAAATAATACTAAAGTGGAGAATTAAGCATTCATTTAGAGAACAGTAACTGGATACTGAAAATAAGAAGTGGAAAAGGTCACCATGTACATGAATCCACAAACAAAAATTTCTAAAGCAGAATGTCCACTTTGTTGTTTAGTGAAAAATCTCAGAGCTTCTGAGGAGGTGGCTTTGGAGGAGCAACTTATCTGGCAAAGCAGAGTTTTCCAAGGAACCCTCCTTCCTCAATGTATATATACATACCCCCCACACCTCACCACCACTCTGGGCTGGCTGAAGCATTACACTGAACCATGTAGCCTGCTTCTGCTACCCCAGCTAAAGGCAAGTTCCCATTAATTTCCGTATTTTATTCGTCTGAGCAGAAACTACAGCTGTCATGCATACCTAGGCAACCCCAAGAGTTGCTTTGTCACATATCCTAAAATAGACTGCTTTTCAGAGAGATCGTTCTCTCTCCACTTTATTATTTTTTATTATCTCTCCCAGGGTTTGTTTTTTTCTTTCAAAAATACTGATCCTTGCCATTTTCTAATTTGTATTTCCTGAATGAAGATACCATGTAATTTAGCCACATGCATCAGGATACTTCTTTAAGAGCAGAGAGATGTGATGTAACGGGAACATGACTACGTATCCAAGCAGTCACCATGGCAGGCACACCCAAATTTTCCAGAGATAAACTTCATTTTAATCTAAGTGTTCGAAGCAATAGTGCAATGGGAGGGTGGCAGTAAGAAATGAAAGCCATACTATCTAAATAAAATGTCTTTTAAAAACCTAACAATGATTCATTGTTTGCGTATAACACCCAGTGCTCCACGCAGAATGTGCCCTCTTTAATACCCATCACCAGGCTAACCCATCCCCCCAACTCCGTCCCCTCTGGAACCCTCGGTTTGTTTTTCAGAGTCCATGGTCTCTCATGGTTCATCTCTCCCTCCAATTTCCCCCTTCATTCTTCCCCACCTTTTTTTTTTTAAACATATAATGTATTATTTGTTTCAGAGGTACAGGTCTGTGGAACCCTACATCAAAAGCTAATGATGTAATGTATGGTGATTATCATAACGTAATAAAAAAAAAAACAAAACCTAACAATGGACATCAGCAAATCTTTAACAGATTTGGCAACTGAAGAGCATGCTAACCTGGAAGGGCCATGAAAATAAACTCTTAATATTTCCTTAAATTAAACACCAGTTTCTGTATACCTTTTCATTTATAAATGATTCTCCTCTAGAAATTCACCAGGATGCACCCAGAAAGTAAAATACTTGCAAACAACTTTAAGACAACCCTGTGGAGGGCGCCTGGGTGGCTCTGTTGGTTAAGTATTTGCCTTTGGCTCAGGTCATTATCCCAGGGTCCTGGGATTGAGCCCCAAATCAGGCTCCCGGCTCAGTCTGCTTCTCCCTCTCCCTCGGCCCCTCCCTCCCCGCCGACCCTGCTCATGCTGGAGTGCGCTCTCTCTCTCTATCTCTCTCCCTCCCACAAAAATAAATAAGTCAATAAAAATCTTAAAAAAAAAAGAATAAAAGACAACCCAGTGGAAGTCTCTAGAGAGAGAAAGATGATTTTTTTTTTTTTTGGATACCATAAGCAGATTCTGACGTTTAGAATGTCAGTTAATTCTCAGCACACGTGGGTATTAGGAGACATTTTAAAAGAATAAAATATATTCTTAGAGGTGTTTGGATTCGTTCAATGTCACATTCATCATAAGGAGAAGGGGGACACACAAAAACACCTCTGAGATGCAGACAAGTTATACAAGGTAAGTTCTAGAAACCTGCTCTACCACAACGTGCCCACAGTTAACAATACTGTACTGGACACCTAAAAATTTGGAAGAGGGCAGATCCCATGTTAAATGTTATTACCACAAGAATAAAAATAAAAAAAGACTGAAACTTAAAGTCAACAGATAATAAAACTAATTTCCAGGATAGGTTAGACCACCTACCAACTCAGAAAGCCCACTCAGCCCTCATGTGTGAGCCACCCATCACTACTATCTCCAGCACCGCTCAAAGCCAACGCAGCGTTCTCAACATGGAGTGGGTGTTGTGTTGGCAACACTTCCAGTGACTTCCTTATGATATGCCTTCAAGTGAAAACTTCAACTATTTGTAAGGAAAGTGAAAAGGCGACTACACTATAAAAATCTCTCTTGGGGCACTTGGTGGCACAGTCGGTTAAGCAGTTAAGGGTCGAACTCTTGACTGCAGCTCAGGTCAGGATCTCAGGGTCGTGGGATCGAGTCCCATGTCGGGCTCTGCGCTCAGCATGGAGTCTGCTTGTCCCTCTCCCTCTGTTCCTCCCCTCACTCACACTCTCTCTCTCAAAGACATGAATACATAAAATCTTTAAAAAAAAAATCACTCTTATTGTCAAATGAATTAAGTAGGAAAATGTAATACCTCAAGCATTAATTGATTTTTAAAAATCATGTTTGAATACCCAACAGTAAACCTGGAAACCACAATCAGGTCCCGGTTATCAGAGTTCCTGGTAACTCTTCTAGCTCAACAAATTTGAATGACTTTGAAAGACTTCTTCTCTGAGTCCTAGAGACGCTTTACTATGTTAATAATCGTTCCCCGAGACAATTCCCTAGGATCTATGATGAATTTGAAAATAACATCTCATTATCTCAAATATCTCAAAAAGAGAGATGTTAAAGAGCACGTGCTTGCTAATGTTACCCAAACACACTGAGCAGATCATCAGCCCAGGATGACAGCCTCACTCAATATCATTTTAAACTGCAAAATGAAATAGAAAGAAATGAACCAAGGAGTATCTCCTACAAGAATGGCTTCAGAGGCACCTTCCAGGAGCCATGCTGAGAGAGACCCTCAAAAAGTTCCTGTGTGGTATAAGGAGGAGGGCGACTGTGGGCCACAGAGGCTAAAGAAATTGCACAAAGACTTTCCAAAGAATAAATTTAAATGGCACAGCCATTGCCTAATGGAAGCAACTGCAACAGTGAGCAAAGAGGAATCAGAAATGTGATGTTTCATTGTGAACAAAAGCCTTAGGAGCCTTAGTACTTACTGAACAACTACCACTGAGTTAGTTACTCTTTGGAAATGGTCTACTGACTCTCAATCACCTGGCTGTTTTTTACTTTATGAGTCTTCCACAGAAAAGGTATCTAAATGTTTGTTGTACTGAACAGAGGTAACGGTACGTCTTTCCTGCATTTAAAAATCCCAGAAATTCAGAATCTGATGAAGTTAATGGTCATCTGTTCAAGTCTTCTATTCTACTTATTCAACCTGAACATCATGAAAGTCAACAATTGCTAAATAAAGAACTTAATTACATTCATAAGGATTTTATTCTTCTGAGATCAATAGTGACCAACATAATTCAGTAATTTTTCCACCTTAACAAATATATGGCAAAAATAAAAAGTTCTGTTTCTGCTCACTTCATTTTAGTCGTAGGTAAAGGGAAATAACTGATATAAATTCCTGTTGAATGTACTCAGTTCTAGGATGAACCAACTCTTGCAGTGATTATTAACATGTGTGATGAGGTGAAGAGCACACACTCCCATTACGTTAAAGGGCTTGCAAGTTACTTTAAGTGTTTCCAGTCTCCCTTTGTTAGTGCTTCACATTTTTATGGGTCTTTCACTTACATCATTTAAGCACATCTGCATAAAAATGAATTTCCTTTGACAGGCAAATTAAGGCTCAGACACACTATGAAATTCAAATACCCAAATACTTAGCCCATACTAGATGATGGGTATTTTCAAATTCTGATATCGAGCCCTCTGTGCATGTGTTTCATTAGCGCAATGGAGATGCAAAGCTAACCCTCTAGACTACTAGTGTATTGATATAATCTGAAGTAGACATAATTATGCTAACCAGCTCCTCTTATTTCAAACTTCTTTTAATACAAATTTGAATCAGACCATCTCTTAAATAAGGAAGATGACTTATTTTCTGGATATCAAACAAGGACATGTTATCTGATTATGAATGAATATATGGTTTCAGAGGGCAGAAAATTTAAGATGTATGGGCCCATTAGCCTCGGTTGTAGATGTCCAGTCTATACTAATCTAAACTAATCACTTTGGGTTCAAAATAGCTGGATATCTTCCTAGATTTTACACGTTTTTGAGGCGTTTAGACCCTACAGCCAATATAAGCAGGCATAGGCATGTTAATTGCAAGTCATCCAGGGACACCTGGGTGGCTCCGTTGGTTAAACGTCTGCCTTCAGCTCAGGTCATGATCTCAGGGTCCAGGGATCAAGTCCCGCATTGGGCTCCTTGCTCAGCCGGGAGCCTGCTTCTCCCTCTGCCTGCCACTCCCCCTGTTTATGCGCACTCTTTCTTTCTCTCTCTCTCAGATAAATAAATAAATAAAATCTTAAAAAAAAAAAAAAAGCTATCCATTGCTTTCTTGACTAATGCAAACTAAAGTCGATTTTAATAGTAGCTGAGAAAGCACCTTTAGTAAGATACAAATATTTTATATAAAAGTCACCTTTCTGTAAAAGTCCAAAATGCTATCGGTGGGTTATGCTGTAATAATAATAGTAGTTTTAAGCCTAAAGCCAGACCTGAGGAGAATAAAAATTGATCTGAGAAGTTTTTCAGGAAAACACTCCATCTGCATGTGCACGAGGGTCATATTCATTTCTTATTTTAAATGTAGACTTTTTTTTTCCCCTTTGCCCACTTTCTAATTCAGGTTTCCCTAAAGTTTTAAAATTAAAAAAAATATATTTTTAGCATATTAATCAATATTTGTTTCTTTATATTGTAATGTATCCAATTTTCCTAACAAAAAACTACTAAACCCACCTCTTCAGGCTCAATCAGTTTAAATTCCATGCCTCGCCCAGTCCACGCAATGAAATGAGAATTAGAAGGGTCATCCAGAAGAGCTACCAAAAACTGCCAGAGCTGAAGTGATCCCCGCCGCTGGTATGTGGGTCCTTCCCGATACATTCCTGGCTCCTGTTTGATGTCTCCTAAATTTAAAAATGTTAAAGTTTCTATTATTAGCAATATTACAACATTTACATAAAATTTACATTAAAGCAATCATGAAAATGGTTCAGCCACAACCACTTTACGGGTTTCTATAAAATATAACGTTACCACTTTAAATAGGGCTTTAAAACAGTTAAAGGCTTTAATGTAAACCAAGAACCTGTACAAACTTACAGGCAACTATATCTAACATATAAGGGTCAAAATAAATGCGAACGGGTGTAGAATAAATCCACGAATGTCATTTGCTTATTAAAATTTTGTATAACTATCTTTGTTTTCACTCATTTATTTAAAAACCATACCATCCAATCACACTTCTTGCTTTTATTGTTAATGACATTATTCATGGCTCTAAGCAACATGGAAAAGGGAGTAATTGATTTTAAGCTCTGGACATTTTATTTGTACAAATTCTGCAAACTAACCTTGTAATACTTCATTGGTCAGTACATGAAAAAATTTGCAAATTATAATGCAAATATTTCAAAGCAAATTTACTTTTATTTATTTACTTACTTATTTTTACAGATTTATTTACTTATTTGAGAGAGAGAGAGGAGGGGGAGAGGCAGAGGGAAAGGGAGAGAATCCCACACAGACTCGCACTGAGCCTGATGTGGGACTCGATCCCATGACCCTGAGCTCATGACCTGAGCCAAAATCAGGAGTTGGACACTCAACCAATGGAACCACCCAGGCGTCCCATCTCAAAGGAAATTTAATTCTTAAATTCTGAGTTAAGTCATCTGTACTTTATGTAAATTAGGAAAATCACACAGGTAAATCAGGGCATATCAGATTATCATCAGCCCACCTTTTTCCCACACCTTCATACTGGCACTACCACTTTCTTAACCGGCAGCAAATAAAAACTCCTTCATTTTTCTTTATCCCTTGTTTGCATTTCAGTCACGTGAATTTAGCTTGCTAGTCTTTTTCTAAAAGTGCAATCTAAAAACACATATACAGGAGCTTTCTGTAAATCTATCTTTTTAATCAAGAAAGGCTGGTTTGTGTTACATTTATTTGTTATCTACATATAGTATAAAAACCAGTAGTATTAAGTAGATTACGGCAATAAGGGTGTTAGTGTTGTAATTCTTCTGGTATAAATCTGGTCAGGTACCTTGTTTTTAACAAACAAACAAAAATTCAGTCATAACTCCTGATTATTTACATCTACCTCCAGTCAACCATCCCCAAAAATATGCGGAATTGGTCACACTGGGGATTGAGTGTCTAGGGCCCTACAAACATATCATTCATTGTTAATGCATGAATTTCTCTTCTCCACTATAGAAATAATTCAGACAGAATATATTCAAGCCAATCTATTCACAGTAAGTGTGAATTATAAAACAGACCAGATCAGAAGCTTCTTAAAACTTTCTTTTGGTTAACAGACAGACATACACCTCTTAAAATAATTACAAAAAGAACAACACTTTAAAAACCACAACCAAAATAAAATCATTCAGTCAATAGCTGCAAGAAATCATTATGTCATTTTGGTCTAAGCTAGATAATACAGAAGTGTCTCTTCATATTGATTTCAATGACAGTTTTATTTATTTCAGTTTTTCCTTCTGAGACAAATTTTTTCATGGGGGTAACAGCAATTATGCAGAGAGAGTGAAACACTGTCAAATTTTATAATCTCTAGATTGCTTCTGCCTATAAATGTGACGGACTATTCTAGCCTTGTCAATGAAAAAATAAATTTTGGCTTTTCTATTCCCTTGTTCTCTAGTCCTTATCAAATATAAAACTATCTTCCAAAAAACATTTTCTTAGTACAAAGTTGAAGAATATTTAAAAGTCAAAGGGAATAAATAATCAAGACAGATTGTTTCTCTAAACATTAGTGTGACTTAGGCCTGTTAGATTATATCATAATCCCACTTGTAGTTTTGAGCTCTTTTTATTTCCTTAAATGCCCATACTGGTAATCAAGATTTCTTAAAATGTTAAGCTCACTAAGAATGAAAAACAAAACAAAACAAAAAAACCGATGGAGGTCATTCCAAAAAGTAAAGGCTTTATGCTTTGTCTTAAGAGAAAAGGCTGTGTTTTAAGAACTGTGATGCTGTTAATGATGCTAACTAGCACATACCACACTAAAGCTCGAAGCTTAAAACTAACAGCTATTTAGAATAAGGCCAAAAAAGTGACCCCTACGGGAGCTTAACCCTGTGACCTTGAGTGAATGTAGCCATTTAAAGGAAGACTAAGGAAACAGATCTTCCCCAAATTATCATTCTTTCTGAGAAGGACCAGAGTAGCAAAAACCTCAGGAAGAAAGTAGTCTTCAAGAAACTAATTAGAGATGGAGAAGCAATCTGAGCATGCACTTTGCTGTTTAAATAATGACAATTAAAAACTTCTGAGAGCTACCAAGTCATTACAGCCATGATCCCCAAAGTTTGTGCAATCAGCTAATCAGAGGGTCCCTGCTCATTTCCTGTTAAACAATCAAAGCAGGAAATACGGAGCCCACTCTGAAGAACCACTAAATCAACTAACTGTTCACTTTTCCCCAAGCTTCCTCGTAGATGCTGACTTCTGCCACCTTTGTCAAGAAAAAAAAAAAAAATTCTAACTTGACACTCTTTTCTAAAATCTGGGACCTTTTCACTGCAATAGAGAGTGATATTAAAAAGGTAATGCTTTCCTAACTCCATCTTAAGCAATTACAAAGTAATTGCACATTAGTAATGAACATCTTCCCAGGGGAAAAAAAAAGGAAAAACAAAAAAAGAACGACTAACAATCACTAACTAAATGGGCAGCTATGTTGTTCCTGTGTTCCATAATGCATCTTTTCATGAACAATAAAAGGAAAGAGGCTGCATTAGTCATCTGTGCATCCACAGTAGCATGCTTTCTGTTCTGCTTTGTTAATTATGGGATCAGCTTTCAATAAATCTCGAACAACAAGCTGCATGTGCTCAGCAGGGCAATGGAAAGACCCCTCGTACTCTACACAAAGCTCAGCAAGAATGATAGTCTCTGGTTATATCTTTAAAAATGAGATCTCTCATAGGACAAAAGAAAAAGCTTCTAAATAGGGGAAGGAAGAGAGAATTTATAAAAGGTAAAGTTTAGCAAGAGTTGAATGCATCATAAATGATGTGCATGGAAATCTTTAAGTAGGGATGTCAACTGTTTTCAGGAGAGTCAAGGGTGATCTCTCCACTCCCTCTTAAAAAAATGGAACCTGAAGCACAATGAGAAACCTACCATCGAATTTCTCCGGGACAACACAGGTGTCATCGTAAAACTGCCTGGGGCCCTTCTCAAACATACAGCCTGTGGGAGGAAATAGGATACATTTATTCATGATACAAATGAAGCTCACAAGCAATTTAAAATACAGCCATTAACCACAAAAACTGGGGTAGAAAAGGACTTTGCCATTTTTTAGCTCCATGATCTTAGACACACTATTCAGCCTCTGTGTCTCTGTTTCCTCACCTATAAAATGGGAATAATGAATCACCTGTCTTAAAGGGGTTGTTCTGGAATTAACTGATTTAATACAGCAAGTTTAGAACAGTACCTAGTGCACAGTGATATATGACAAGTAGATATTTATATTATTACTACCCCAAGCACAAAGCAGGTAAACCCTGCCAAACCTAGAAATTACAAGATATCATCTTTTTCATTTTCTTCCAAGTTTTGTTATTCATGAGACAAGAGGAAAATCAAGACGAGTTACTTATATTTACCTTGCACAATTACCCTGATAAACTGAAACACATTCAGTTTACCTCTTACTTCCCCGGAGAAATATTTAGCTGGGCTAACCTCATGTTTTCATCTTCAACAGCCAAGACAGTTTTAATTTTCTTTTTTAACTTTCCTTTTTTCCTGTAACAAAACTAAGTCCACAGAAAAAATGCAAACTAAATCAAAGGCTTTTAGCAATCATTTTCTCCCCCATATATCCTTGACTGTGACCTTCACTGAATCATCATCTTTAATTACCAGGAAGAAATTTCATATACTTTAGTCACAGTTTTCTTTCTCAGATGTACTGGTCTCTACAGTGAGTACATAATAATAACAATAGCAGTGACAATAATTACACTGCATTTCTGCTAAATTTTTGGTCCCAAATATTTTGGATTTACCAGCTTATTATACTCTTCTTCAAATTAAGCATTTACTTCTATCAGTATCACTTATACCAAACAACCAGTATTAGACCTAACCTAAAGAAGATGAACCTATGCCATCTTACCGAGGAAACAGAACGTTTATGTCATGAATCATGCACATATTTCCAGAAACACTTTAATAGGGAATGTATCCAGAGAAGATCCTTTGTTATCCATTACTTTGCAGGTATCAAAGTCCATTAGATGAAAGCTTTCCCACCATGGTTACCATGAACACATCCACAATAAAAACTCCCTTCTGTAGGCCTCTTATGTGAAATTCCATTCTTAACAATTACTTGTCTAAAAATGAAAAATCCAGGATATACAAAGGCAAGTATATTTAAATCTACTCTCTTTTATTTCAAAACACAGACTTAGCTCTTAGAGCAAAACTGAAATTCCTCAAAGATAAATTTCAGTAGAGAGTAGTAAGGAAGGCTAATCTATAAAGCACATGTTCTGTTTTTAAAGGATGTGGTTGTTGACAAAAAAAAAGAATACAGAAATTCACTTTTCAGCTGTTTATGGGCACATGACTCTTAACCAAATTCAAGATAACATGACCTGAAACATCTTCCTTTTACTTTAAAAAGATTAAGTTTTAAAATAGTGGTTTAGGGAACATAAGTGATTTTTTCCATAAAATATAATGATTAATCAAATGACTGCATCTTTGGTACCTCTGATAATTTTGACTGTATTCACAAAGAATTTCAATAATAGAAAACTTAACTTCTGTTCTGCTGGGATGAGCCAGGAAGCCTTCTTGCCTCATATAAATGGAGTGGCAGCTAGGCACTTCTGAAAGAAGAAAAAAACATCAGTCAAAGAGAAGTTTGGAGCTGAAAATGTGCTGTTACCAACAGAGTGCAGATAGGAACTGACATGAGTCTCCCTGAGGGGAGCTTCTCAATGGGTAGATAACATTTCAGACAGGGCCCACACAGGAAATGGGAAAATGAGGGGCACCTCAGTGGCTCAGTTGGTTTACACGTCCAACTCTTGATTTCGGCTCAGGTTATGATCTCAGGGTTGTGAGATGGAGCCCCGCGTTGGGCTCCAAGCTCAGCAGGGAGTCTGCTTGAGATTCTCTCTCTGTACCTCTGCTCCTCCCCCAGGTTGCTCTCTCTCTCTCTAAAATAAATAAATAAATCTTAAAAAAAAAAAGGAATGCAAAAATGAGAAGCATATCATGGCAGACACGGATTCTCTTCAACAGGCATGTAAATTCAAAGTTTTCCCCACGTTTACTAAAGGGTGGTTCGCCTGCAGCCCCACATGAATGTGAGAGTGCCCTTGGAACAAATGGGGTCATGAGTAAAGATACATTTGGGGCATTTGTGGGATAAATTTGTATATCCCATGGTATTCAAAGCAAAGATCAACAAAGACTCAGTCATGGTTTATTTCAGGAACACTGTTAGAAATTATTACAAAAAGACAAAACTGCCACATCTCTTAAAATTACTCTAGTCTTTTAAGGTGACTGCTATTTTTCACCCCCAGATAAAAAGTATGACTGCCTTTTTATTTTGTTAAGCACACAGGTAATATTCAAAACAAATGCAGCTATAAAACAGAAATCCAACAATTTCATAGCAAACACCATTATGACGCTAGGAGTGAGGCCTTGCCTACCTGACCAAGTTAACTCATCACTGAGAAAATAAACTTGGTTAATGGTTAAACTTGAGTCATAGTGATGGCTGTGTATTTAACATGTTTAGTAGCGTAGGTATAGGGGAAAGGACAGACATATGGATTAGGAGACAAAAGATTAAAATTCGAGTTCTTAACTTACTTCTAATAAAGCTAAATGACTTTAGATAAGTCATTCTATATCTAAGCTTATATAAAATAAAGGGCTGGATCAGATATTATCTAAAGTCTATTACAGTCAGGGCGCCTGGGTGCCTCAGTCATTAAGCGTCTGCCTTCGGCTCAGGTCATGATACCAGGGTACTAGGATCGAGCCCCACATCGGGCTCCCTGCTTGGTGGGGAGTCTGCTTCTCCCTCTCCCACTCCCCCTGCTTGTGTTCCTGCTCTCACTATCTCTCTGTCAAATAAATAGATAAAATCTTTAAAAATAAATAAATAAATAAATAAATAAATAAATAAATAAATAAAGTCTATTACAGGCTCAAGTTCTTTGATTCTGAATAGAATGTCACTCACATGACCAGAGGTTGATTTCTGGTGAAACCAATGAAGTTGTAGCTTCAGGAAGGACCCTCCATTTACAGGAATCCCTTCCAATGCCCTGCAACTCATTTTGTAGATGCTGTTGCTTTTTCTTTTTCTTTCAGAAGGTTCCCCAAATTTTATATTTTAGGTCTCATGAACCTGGGCCCAAGCCTGTACATAACATATACAGATTCTACAGGAATGTTTAAATATATGTGACTAAATTAATTCTATCATCTGCATGTATCCTCAAGTTTTTGAAACTTTCAACACATACAAAAATAAACTTATAAAATACATAGGACAAATGTCCTATTTAATATAAGAGTATGTCCTCCATTCCACCACTTGTAGCAAGTACATGATTTCTGAACAAGGAATAAAGAACATATAAATGAATTGGGAGCTAAAGACCCTCATCTCTTCTTAACTATCCATCCACAGACTTTCATGTTATAACAGATAATTAGCACTATTTATTTGGCCTAGAGGTCGTTCTTTCTTGGTCTGGAATGTTCCATTTTTAAAGTCTATCTGATTTAAAAAAAAAATTGCCTGGTGATTAGTGTCAACCAAAATATGAGATAATTTTTCACAGAAAAAAGTTTACGTGGTTTTAGTCAAAACTATCTTAATGGCAATTCGTAATAGTGGTAACACTTAAAAAGTATGTAGAAATCAACAAGCTTATGAGTTGAAAACAATATAAAACTCTTTATCAAACATTTTAGAACACCATGCTTTCTTTATATAACATACGATCTAGTATGTAATTCTGACCCTGCGAAAGGCAGAGTTTATCTTGTTTCCTGATATCAGGAAACTTATAATGGGGTTGCAGAGTAGTTGAACTTCTGGGTTACCAAAGAGCTAGCAGTCCATTTTATCCATACTTTTTTAACCAGTGGTACTTCAAATTAATTTTTAATGTTATGTTGATTTATCGCCAGGCATAGGACCCTCAAAGCAGCTGGGCCTAGGAGGGACAGTGTTAATGACTCCGCTATCAGTTCAGCAGCTGTTTAGAGGTAAGAATTTTGTTGTAGCAATGTTGACAGCCTGCCACAAAACACTTTTACTGACTGCTGCCCAGCTGGGGTATGGCTGTAGGCTGCTCTCGAGGCAGCTAGAGGAAAACCTATAGATTAAACTCTATTATATGTAAGTGTGACTAAATGCAGTCTTTCCTCCCCAGAGGGGGACAAAAAGAGGAGGAGAGGAAATCCAAGCATTTATAAGAAACGCATGAGTCAAAGATGAAGGAACATCTTATAAAAGTGCTGTAACGTAATACAAAATAAGCATGATCCTGGGCATGTGACATCAAAGATAGAATGTGATGATCATTTCACTAATTCCCACGTCTCTACAGACCTTGCTGATTTGTTATTTCTTGTGCTAATTCTGTAATATTTTTTCATAAATTCTATTTATCAAGATGACATTTAAAGTACACTGATTTAGGGCCACCTGGGTGGCTCAGTCATTAAGCGTCCGCCTTTGGCCAGACCATGATCTCAGGGTCCTGGGATCGAGGCCCACATCAGGCTCCTGCTCTGCGGGAAGCCTGCTTCTCCCTCTCCCCCTCCCCCTGCTTGTGTTCCCTCTCTTGCTGTGTCTCTCTCTGTCAAATGACTAAATAAAATCTTTAAAAAAATAAAGTATACTGATTTAAAATTCATAATAAATTAATGATTTATAATAAGGTTAAAGACAGTACCTCCATTACAGTTCCAGAGACCAAACTTGTCATCTAAGTTCTAAGAAAAGCCATGAATGGCAATTTAGGGGAAAAAAAAAAATACATACATAAGAATATAATTGTGTCTTTGCCATCCTTAATACTATTGATTATACTCCAGAGTAAATAAAATTAACATCAGCTCTTGAAATTGAGACACTTGGCGAGCGTTGTTTAAATCCAGTCTATCCTTAAAATCGGTATCCCTTATAGAGTCCAGAGAAGCCTGAAAAAATATGACTAAGAGGAGTTTATTCCCCTCAAGTAACTAAAGTCATGTTATCCTAAAGTGGTATCAGTTAATTTATGACTATCAGAGTGGGTCAGACTCTAATCAAATTGTAGAAACATTTCCAAAGTGATTATTCAATCAAATGACTAACATGGTTAATTAGGAGCCATAAACATTGCTCTGAAGTTCATCAAAGTAATGACTTGCCCAGAAAAATTACTGCTAATTAAATTGCCTGCTGCTTTCATTTCTACCTTATCTAATAAAAAATCCAACCAATGAAGTTTGGCATTACATTTTAACTTTTGCTAAATGCTCAACTAAGAACCAAACTAGCTAAGCGGGGACTTCAAAGGCAAACGTTCTGTGGTAGGAAATGGAGGCCTTGCATACATATGCATTCATATGTTTTCATGGAATAAAGCTCCCAAAATTCAGCAACAATAACGAACTGCTGTTTAACTACCGCACAAATGTTACTAGGACAGTGTATTTATTCTGCTCTATTGTGTGTCCGTAGCTTGTGACGTTAGGGCCATGAGCACAGCACTGTGATTACAAATGTGCTCCTTGTCTTCTAACAGACCTGACTTTGAACCTCAGTTCTGGTATTTTGTGGGAGTATGACATTTTGTTAGTTTTTTCACATCCTCAGCTCTCAACTTCCACATCTGTAAAATGGGAATAATACGTGATATCCTTCAAAGGGTTGTGGAGAGGAACCCTATGGGCAACATTTCACTTAGTGCCAACAGTGAGGATTCAAGATACGTGCTTATCGTTAACAACAGAAACTATTTTTAAGTGTCCCTCATGAGTGTTTAAAGTGAGTGAACCACAGTACTTAAAACTAAAAATAATTATGTATTTACATTTTTATATCTTAATTTGCTGTTCTTAAAACAATTACTTAGTGAGAAGGATGAACCTGTGATATTTAAAACATACTGATTTAAAATTCATTACAAATTTATGATTTATCAGGTTTAAGTGAGAATCTCTATTACATTTTCAAAATATTTGGAGGTACCTCTTTTGAGCTTCTTTTTACAATGTTATGCCCTGAGGTTTGCTGCTAAATGACTTTGGTTTAAAAAGTTTTTAATTCAGGGGTGCCTGGGTGGCTCAGTCGGTTAAGTGTCTGACTTTGGCTCAGGTCATGATTCCAACGGTCCTGGGATGGAACCCGGTGTGGAGCCCCATGTGGAGTCCCACCTTGAGCCCCCAGAGAGTCCTGTGCTCAGCGAGGAGTCCACTTGCCCCTCTTGCTCTGCCCCTCCCCTCCACTCGTGTTCTGTTTTTTTCAAATAAAAAGTTTTAAATTCAATCTATATATTGAATTATGTAAATTTAAGACAAAGGATTTTATATTATTTTGAAATGTATGGATCAAAAAGCACTACAATAGGACACTTAGCATGGGCCCAGTCAGCTTGCTGAAACTAAACTGCCTGTAATTTGTCACACATGAATTTGGGGGATGGTTAGCTGATCTAATATGCTACAAAAATTCAAAGCAGCAAAGCACTGTTGTCATTTTAATGCACTAGTTAATGCAGGGGCACTTAAGAAGAACAGTAAACTAACACCTCAAACTATCTGATTTGATTAGTCTTCACCTTTAGTAACACCATTAAAATTG